GAGATATTTTGAATCTAAAATCACTTTCTTGCCATCGCCTTCGAAGATTTTTATTAATTGATCTAACTCCGGGCTCATCGTATATTTCTGAATTTATTTCTAGTGTTGTTTTGAATCAAATTTTGTTGAACAATTTTCACGTTTACGTTATCTTCCAGTCTTAGTATTTTTCTTCGATGTCTCTTCCTTTTAGTAGACTTGAAACGCCCAGCTGCTTTATAATACTCTATTGTCAGTCTTTGAAATAAACCGTTCAAAGCACTAAGTTTGGGGCAGTATACCATAAAGCTGTGTTTTCATCATGTAAAGCAATAAATAAATTGTACACTTTTTTCTCTTCTTAATTGTAAATTATTTTTCTTATTTTCTCGTCATAGCTTTGATGAATTTACAAAATATTTTGAATGATGTTTCGAAGACTTTTACCAGTTGTTGAAAAAACTGTAATTTTAAATTTCTTACCAACTGTCATGAGTTTGTAGCTTAGGTTTAGGGAAATAGTGATTAAAGATTCTTCCGAAAAGTTCTGCGGGAAGTTCTTAAATTTTAATGACTATTTAGTTAAGTGCTTAAGATAACCATTAGCCTGAAAAGTATTGTAAGTAAAACACTCGAGTACACACAGCCTTGGGTGGAGCGCAGGTTAAAATGATGCTTCAGTACTTTTTTTTCGGTTTGGTAAGAGGTAATAAACGTTTAGATGCAAAGTTCCTATTAGATTTAGTTACGTTACAACTACAGAAACGTGTCGCAGCAACTTAATTTTTTAACTATTGCTTCCATTGGCTTCTAGACTGCTACGTACAAGTTTCTTTTGTGCGAGATCTTACAGAATTAAAGAGCAATTCTTTAAATAAATATATAGTTCAGTTGTAATAAAATATCAATATTTCTGTTTTGTAGTCAAATATGCATATTATTTGTCACATAGATGATTTTACAATGTTTTCCACCTTTCATACGTCTACTTTAAGCATTTTTATATTCTCAACGTCTTCCGTAACAACTTATCTTAATTTTAATAATATTACACCTTTTTTATTTTGTACATTGATGGGTAGTTTACAAACAAAAATTCAGAAGAAAGTGTGTTTTAAAATGTTGAAAAATTCAATATATAAAAATAATTACACCATATTAAGTTGTAATTTAATTTAGATAATCTATAAACAGACTATAAACATCACCGAGTACGAGTGATCTCGATTTTTTTTGCAAAATATGAGACATATTTTGAAAGTATTCGTATTGCTTTAATTCAGACTAAAAGAATATAGTGGTAGTTTCATTTCAGATTGTTTCATTGTAATGAAACTAGTGAATACGGTCTTTGCGTATTAACAGGTTTCATACTAACAACCACAGTGTTAGTTTCAAATTGTATACCTTGTTTCGGAACTAGAACTTACTCAAAAAGACATTTACTAACAGGCTTTTGATGAAACAGTATAATTTTCAATATAATTACTTTTATACGTACAATCTAGATAAGATTTTCGAGGATGACCATAGTTTCAGACTTCTCTCTTCATTTTAGATTTGTAAAGACATTTTATAAACTGCCCTATCATTTAACTGAAGTGCGGTAAATTCTATAATTAAACTGTGCTTACTAACAAGTTTGGGGAGTATAGTATAGCCATAGAAAATAATATTTTCTCTATATCTAACATTACAATCACATTTCCAAGATGATAAAAAGCACTAAATCATAGGTGATTTGTTTCCGGGATGAGCTTATGTTACAAATTGATTGATAACTTGTCAGCCAATTATTTAAAGTTGCTTTTTAGTGATATATACATATTTTCCACTCTCTTTGATCTTGGCACCAATAACTTCAAGCAATATTACAATATTGGCGAGTTCACACTTTATTGACTCTTAAATTACTGATTTGTTTTTATACTGTTCACTACCGCTAAGGTCCACATATTGCATCACCATGAGTAACATTACGTTTTTTGCCTGTTACAATACTCACTGTAAAGCTGCACACACAAAAATGATGAAATTATTCATTTTGTATGTAAACTGTATAAGGAGCTCCATTTATAATTAGTGGAATTAATTGAAAACTGACGGCTTTTGTTTAATGTTTTATATAACTCGTATGTTCCCAACGAACTCGTGAGATGAGCTATAATAATTTGGCACACATGTAGTTTAGAAATATACGTTTAAAAAGTAGATGAAGTCCTTAAGAATCCTATAGGTAATTCTAATCTAAAAACTCATTTTGTAAAACCTAACAATTCTTTGATTATCGATATTATTTTAGACGAAAAATAGTTTGAAAAGGAAACCCCTAGATACAAGTTTCAACTTCGTAAACTTAATTAACACAGACCATCTCCAATCGCTTTTTCAAGATCAGTCAATAATGTTAACCTACGTCATTAATGCAATATACAGTAATTTCGGCACAATAAAAGTGAAAAAAAACATTCAACTGCACCAAGTTTACATGGTCATACCTTTTATGAACAACATACCTTTAAGGTGTTAATTATCGAGATCTTATTCATGATTAAGTTTAGATGATAAATTATTTTGAGGGTGTATATGCATACCTTCTTTTTCCCTGGTTGCCTCCTCTTCCAAACTACTTGGGTAACTAACAACAGGGCTGATCATTGGCGGTTGAGTGATCGTTGGGAGCAACAAGTGACTGGGGAGTCCTGAGGCGAAGAAATGATTTCCCGAAAACGGAAAGGGGAAACGGCCAGAAAAAGAACGGGGAGAAGGAAAGAAAGGATGGGATATGGTAGTAGGGAAGCTAAAGCTTTCTTCGTTAGAGAAAGATTTGGACACAAACTCTGTTAACTGTTCCATCTTGTTGATTTTGGTGAGTGTTAGTAAATGCGTCTCCGTTCAGCAGGTTGATATATTATTTTTCCACTGTGCCCAATTCTTCTTTGTTGTCTTTTTTTGACTTTTGGGACTTTTAAACAATAAGATTATCCTCGGAGCTCCATGATATTACATTTGGTGATATGATTCGTGTATGCAAAATCTCCACTTCATATTTTGTTCCACTTAATAGTTGAAACAAGTCATTACGTGTTTCTCAGTTGAATAAGTTCTTGTTTGACAAATTAACTCGTAACAGTTAAGAGAATTTAAGATATATAAAATATATCTGAACCATTTTTTTCGCTAATCGTTCACAGGAAAGATAAATGTTTTTGTTTAATAAAACTTTTTCTTTGGTATAACTGTCATGCCATCAGATGCAGTTTATGTATGACATTTGGTATTATTAATGTCCTCGTTATAATGAGAACAGCATACAGCTATAAACAAAGGAGAGTGAGCGAAAAATACCTGATGCGTCAGAGAAAAATGAATTACCGACCTTAAATGAAACGCCACCAAATAACCCACTGACTAATAAGATAACTTAAAAGAAAACGTGACGCACGTTCTCTGGTTTCTGTGACCAGTTTAAGAATAGACAAGGGACGCCGCTTACTTATATATATACCAACCAACCCTAATCGTGTTATTTACTCCACGTTTCCTCGGCCATTCGCAGTTCGTCACCAACCTCGATACCGCTGATTGGTTGTCTCGTTTTTCTTAGTTTAAACTGGGCATGAGCAATTCTTAGTTCATTTGAGTCAAAGTAGAAGTTTCTAAGATTTTCGTATTTCTCTTTAAACTCGAAGAAATTATAAATCAATCTTGCTCACAATCAAAAATAATTTGGTTGATTTCAAAATGAATTTTGTTCATACTTTAAACTTCAGTATTAACCTTAAAATTACGTTATTAATAGTTTACCCTAGCGTTCATAATATTCTAAGGGAATTTTTTTGAATCCAGTAAGCTACAAAAAGTTTATGTAAGTACTGCAAATAAATGTACTACTGTAATTTTATACACTAGTTCCACAATAATTTATTTGAGATAATATATAAATGAATTAATCTTAAAACAAGTAATACCATATAAGATTTAATTGTGTGGAGGTCTGCTAGGCCCATAAAAGATCTTGAATCTTCCTAAGTTGAAAAATGCAAAAATATCTTGCCTGGCATTGGATTGAGTTGTAGCTTTGTATCCCCACAATCATCCCTGCTCATAACATTCTTATGATTTCACTCAGGTATGGATTCAGTATAAAATCCATAAAAATATCACAAAGTTATAAAATGACGTATATAACCTACTACTTTGAAAATCCTGCAAAAACATTTGCTATGATATTTCTCTCACTCTCCTCCCCCACCCCTAGTGGCTCAGAGATAAGCCCCTTAATCTATGACGATAAAATCTGGTTTCTGGTTTCGGTACCCGTTGCATATTGTGAAACTTTGCGCTTTACAACAAACAGACAAGCTCTATTAATTTGTATATACAGAAGATTAAGCACTTTATATTAAGACTATTTTCAATATTGGAACCAAAATGTCACATAACGACAACAATCTATATTAAGTCGCGATGGAACGGTTTGTTTGTAATTTTGCGCTAGCCATCCCTAACTTAGCAGTGAAAGACTAGAGGGTTTGTTATTACTTTCGCGCAAAGCTACACGAGGGCTATCTGCGCTAGCCGTCCCTAATTTAGCATTGTAGAGGGAAGGCAGCTAGTCATCACCACCCACTGCTAACTCTTGAGCTACTCTTTTACTAACGAATATTGGGATTGATCGCACATTACAATTCCCCCACAGCTGAAGGGACGAGCATGTTTGATGAGGCTGGGATTCGAACCCGCGATCCTCATATCGTGAGTCGAGCACCCTAACCACCTGGCCATGCTGGGCCCCGGTAGAACGGAATGTATCAGAACTATATTTTTGCGTTTTTTGACATTACGTAGGGACTGTGATGCTGGCGAAAATTGGTTGCTTTTGGAGAAATATATGTAACATCTATTTCCGATGCAAAGTATTCATACACTCAGGTTATACAGATGTATTCAGATTGAGGATTTAGAATCTCCAAAACGGGAATATCTCTTGTACTTAATTATATTAGAGAAACAAATGAATATAGATCAACTTGAGAGACCAAGACCATCCGGAAACAGATCTACAATAAGTCGTACCACAGCCGAGGTAAATAATGTACGGCTTTTTATAACAGATGAGAACACAAAGGTCAATGGTGGCAAAAGCCGTCCATATGTACCATCTGCAAAAGCGACGTCAGTCACATGTACACAAGTTACTTCCATGACATGTACGTTCAATCTTCGTAAACCCCAAGCAGATAGAGAATGAAACGGGTATTCATGCTATTCAATACGAAGATATACCGGTCAAGTCACCTATAGACTTCTGTAGGATCGGGTAGTTGAAATGGGTGCTGAAAAATCGCCTTCCTCGTACATTGTATGGATTGTGGAAAGCACTCTATGGGGTGTATGTGATTTAAGCATGACAGCCTTACGACGGTTCCTTTTATAATGGAAACTACTGTACACCACTATTTTCAAGATGCACGGTCATCAGATAGAGCATGACCGAACGTGGGAACATGGACTATAACGACGTGGTGAGGCTCCAAAATCGTTTTAGTATAATGTACCCAACCTCTATAAATGTATATGTAATATGTTATTATTTTTAATGTATAAATAAATGAAAGGACAATTAGGATACGTGATATAGACAAATATAAGCCTATATCAAAATATTGTAATACAAGCATTACAGTTAAACATACTTAGTTGTATAGCTTTAAATAGGAAACTAATTTCCTTCTGTCTAATGTTTTCAAAAGTGAAGTTGACATTTATGACAGTCAAATTTGGATGCAGATCACTAAATCTCGCATATATCGATTACAAGAAATATAATCCGTCTCACCTAATTCATTTGTTATTAACGTAATGACACAGGGGCATATGTATCCGTAATATTCTCTCTTTCGTGAGTTTTCTTTCAAAACAAATTGTTTCTAGACAGCTGAACTCATCCTATTAGAAATGCGTTTGACTCTAGGTTCCAGATTTTCAGGTCACATAATCGATTCTATAAATTATATTTGGAAGTTGCAATGAATAATTGAATAAATAATTTATATATGCTATTAAGAAAAAAACATTATATGTACTGGGTATTTACATAATCGCGTAGATCAAAAGCTTAAGGAATTATGAATACAATTTTCCGACTTATCATATATATATATGTAATTTAATGTAAGGCAATGTGTAATTATCAAAAAGTTTAACCGTATATATATATAATATCATTTATGCGTTTGGTATTCAAAAATTTCAGGCAACACTAAATAAAAACGTGCATAAATGCGGAACAGAATCAGATGGTTGCTAAGAAACACTTTAGTGTTTCATGAACTATATTTTGCACAATTTAAAAAAATATCAAACTTGATACTTGAAAAAGTCTTAGTCATTTATTACAGAGTTAAAAAACCAAAGAAATTTCAAAACACCAAATTTTCAATACTATTTTTATCGTACAGTTAATCTTATCTTTGTTTATGTTTCTTTTCTTTAAACACAAAGGTACACAATTGGCTATCTGCGCTGTGATATCATTAGGGATAGAACGCCGAATACTAGCATTATTAACCTTTAAACTGGGCCACTGGAGTAGATTTCTTTATTGGTGTAAACCCTTGATATGAATTTTTATATAAAGATTTATTTTTTATTCTAAAACTAAATTTAAACTTAAAAAAACAACAGAAAAAGTTGTTGCTTCTTGATAAAATATATCATCAGTTATTTTCTCATTGTTTCGACATGTTTACCAAACAATAACAGTAAAAATAACACGTAATAAAGACTGACAACTTAGTAGCTTTTTTTAATTACTGAATTGAACTTATCTCCAGCAGCGAGACTTTGCTGATATCATTCATTTAATTACTCGTAATCCATGAAATATACTTCAGTACATTCAAAAATAGAGTATTTCAAATATATCTAATTACAAACGTGAAGTTTATATTCAAATAATTGTTTGGTTGTTTTTAATTTCGCGCAAAGCTACACGAGGGCTATCTGCGCTTGCCGTCCCTAATTTAGCAGTGTAAGACTAGAG